GTAAATCTCCACCAGTCTCTGGCGGTGCTGCTCCACAGTCTCATCAGTTTCTTCTGGGGGGAGCTCTGGCTGAAATCTTGTACATCCATATGTGTCAGTTGGACCCCTCTTTTGTGTAGAGGATCGGTGGCGTGAAAAGCTTACATCACGGTTCACATTCTCAATGCGGTTTTTCACTTGAATCAAAAGTGATGTGTAACCTCTACCCAGAAGTAACCCATCTGGTGTCATATCAGCAAAACTCTTTGGGTACTGCCTGATGATATTTTGAACCACAGTTAGGCACTGTGCACGAGTGGGGTTAGCTTCATACTTTCTCATTTCATCTGCGAGTACTCGTACCATCTGGCGCCGCGCCACTGGTTTAGGTCTCTTGCCATCTGCAATTGCAGAACGAATTTCCTGTGGCATTTGTTCCCAAGGGATCTGGAATGTTTCTGGCCATGTTTTCAGTATCTGAGATGTGGAAGGTCTGTTGCTTGGCTCGCTGTTTCTTGCCTGGTTTGAACATGCAATGGCCGATAGCTGTGATGAGCTAGAATGAGGCGGAGTGCATAATGATGGTAATGAAGACTCAGACGCCGACAAATCACTACTCAGTGATGAAGTTGGAATGGCTTGTAAATCCAATGTAACTACCTCAGTTTCTAAAAAACAAACAAACAAAAAAAGAATTAGGGCACACAATTAATAAGCTATATCAGAGTAACTGCAGGCATTTGGCTAAAAGTCGACTTAACTCTTCTTATACTAGGCATATTTGAAAAGTTTAAAGGTGAATTATGTGGTTTAAGAAAAAAACAACACTAATGAATAAACAATAGAATAATTTCTCCAGAACACTGTTTGAAGCTAGAAAGTTGGCAGGGTCAGCCTAATATAAACAACATAAAACAGTAGGAAATTGAGTTGTCCAATGTCAGTTTGTTTGTTCAGTTTATTCAGTCAATAAAATTAATCCAATTTGTGTATTTAATTTGTTTATGCATGAAAATTAATAATTCTCTTTTTATTAAAATTTCTTGCCCAAGACATTGTGCACCCTTAACCTAGAAATAGATAATGCGTCAGGTAAGAGAGTGAGAGGAAGCAATGAAGCATTCTGAGTGATTCAATGTAAAAAAAATTGCCAAATACAAAGCATCCATCTGATTTGAATATGATAAAATATGAGGTGAACGCCATTTTAAAATGTTTATGAAAATGAACTAAATAAACTCAGTATGGTTTCTGTTATGTTACATGTGGCTCCCACTGTTTATGGATTAATTATGGTCATTCCCTATACCTGTACCCTATGTTACTATTCTATCAGCCTGATACCAGATTTGTTTAAGTACTAGTGCATCCCCACTTGAATGCCACACTAAAGTAGCCATACATTACCTAATTTGAATGCATCCAGGAGTTTTCGGCGCTGGATAACAGGTAGCAGATCAGCAATGTCTTCCTGTTGTACATATTTTAAGTCTTCTTTTGACTCCAAGCCGGAGCTCTGAAGTTTCAATATTATTTGCCACTGGGTCTCTTCAGACAGATTTGGCAAGGTCTTGCAGATGATCTCTTTGATTTCTTCACTCAAGTTCGCCATCATTCTGGAACAAAGGGAAAGAATGGTGAAGAATTATCAATGGTGTGCCATGGACAGTGTACTCAGGCAAGGGATAGTAATCTAGCAGATTCTCCTGATTAATACAACAGTAGCTTCTCTGCATCAGTGTGAGGCTGTAAACACCCATGTCAGGAATACGCAGGGCATGATACTTTTCAGCAATAAAATATACTGCTGAATCCTTATGAACGAGAACCACTTTGATTTTTCCAGTAACAAGCCTGTCATCATCATCATCAATCACAATGAGCATGTTCTTTTTGTATTTGGTCCCCTTCACAGTCACTTCATTTACTATCAGAGTGTTTGTGGACTCAAAATTGTGATGTGCAACTGCCTCTCTGATTACATTATTGTAGTCATCTGAGAAAAACTGCGTGCCCCTCTCCACTGAAACAGCTGGAGGGAAGAAGGTACCAGCACTCAGAAAGGCCTGCAGAAGCTGATGTCTCTCTGCAAGAGTAGAACATGGATTCTTAAAGTTGCGCAATTTCCTCAAACACTGCTTAAAATATGTGTGTTTGCTCTCGAATCTTAAAGTCCATAGGCGAATAAGGGGCCCAAACTGGATAATGAGCTCAGGATAATGACTGACATAATGATGTTTGGGCTTCAGTGGGTTGTCAGGAAAGGTTTGAATTCGGTAATGCAAATATTCATCAATCAGCACTCTTAGGTTGGCTATCTGGCCATTTGAAATGGCAGGTGCACAAATGAGGTCCACAACTTCTCTAAGTTGCAAAACCAACTGCCATACTTCGTTGTCACCTGGATTTTTTACTTTGTCTCCAATCAAAACAGGCAACATTCTCAGCAAACACCAATTCTGCACAGCATGTCCCCCAAATTTTACACCCTCTGGATTAACCTCACACGGTTTGTCATTAGCATCCCTACCAAGATACTTGAACTGATTTATTCGTCGATTCAACTCGAGATAGCTGAACATTTTATCCACCTTAACAAGATGGTTAACGTACAGTGCCAGATCTGAGGATATAATACCTTCAAAAAGATCATGGCCAAGACATGGAGGCAACTCTGGCTGACATACATGGAAGTATTTGAGTGTATTAAACAATACACCTCCACTAGATGTAGACTGTCCTTTACTGCTCTGAACATGATCAGTGTATGACTGCACTGTGCGTTTTGTGCTTGGATAAGAGGATCTGCATAGAATGCTTCTCTGCTGATATCACAATATCTGCAGAAGTGTGAACTCCTGCTGAAGTTCTCCACAAAGCCTCCTATGCTGTGTGAGCCCAGGTTGTCACCTGCAATGGCACACAAAGTTCCCTTGTAGACCTTTCCGTCAGGCAGGGTAACACCATTGAGCTCAAGATCTTTAAGGTCATTGACGAGGGTGCCCATAACCAAGTCTTGACCAAATTACTTAAAATCTTGTTCTTTACAGAGAAGAACAAGTTGCATTTGATCAGTGCTGGATCTGTTGTGTGGCATTAAATCTACAAGACTTAGATACACTGCAAGTAGTGTTTTTTCTTTCCAGATCCCAGTGGGTTTACCACTTCAAATGCATCCTGATACAGGATCATGCTCAGTGATGAGCTTTCAGTCTGGAAGAGCACATTCTCAGCCATATTACTGCCATCCCACACATCCTTAAGAATATCCTTTGGACCAATACTGGAGTGTACTTGCTCATATAGTTCCTGCACTGATTGGCAATGAAATAGAGAATTAATTGTTTGTTTAATGGGAACATACTAAGCAAAACACTCTTTGCCTGTCTCATTCTGACCTAGACAGATCTGAACTGGCTCAACATAGTTGAAGCTGTTCTTGAAAACAGTTTTTCTTTTCTGATTAGTTTTCAGTGGCTGAGTGTTGCAGGTCCTAAAGAGATCCTCATTTTTCACGACTTCAATCACATTGTTTGTGTCAGCTTCTGAAATCCCAAGTGTAATCAACCTCTCTTTTAGTTTGAAAAGCAAATGTGACTGCCTTATATCATGTATTTCCTGAAAATCTTCAATAATTGTCTGGATTACAGAGGATGGAAGCAAACACTTTGCTTGCAATTTCAAATAAAATAGGGCTAAATTTTTAAAGAACTGTGATTCATCAGCAATTTCTGGATAAATCTCTTGTTCATCACCTGCATCACTGGGAGGATCAATCTGCATATCAGACTGATCTTGTTCACTATGGTGGGAAACACCAGGATTCACAACGGACTCAACCAGATTTTCCTCAGTACCATTTTTATGTTTCCGACTCGTGTGATGTGAATGTCGATAAGACTGTCAAGCTCTTGCTACAGTGTCTATAAGGACAAGCAACTGTTTTCCCCTCTCTGTGTGTTTTCAAATGAGAGTTAAAGGCTGTCAAAGTCTCACACCTTGCACTGCAGAAATCAACATGACACGTTAGTTCAACTACACCAGACAAAGTAGGCCTAACTACACGTTTGTTATGTCTGTAAGTGTGAGACTTAAACGTTGAAAAGTTTTGGAAAGTCCGACTGCAATCTGGCAAAACACACTTAAAAGTTAAATTAGGTGTATTTTTATGAATCCTCATGTGCCTTACATATTCCACTATTGTGGCACAGTTTTGACAACAGATCTGACAGGGGAACATTGTTACTGCCTGATGGTAAATTCCTTTTCATCAACAAACATGTATTAGTCTGAATTAGTACAGTAAAATATGTCAAGCAGGAAGATAATTTCTGGCTGCTTTTTAGTGCTTTTTTATCAGTCTTAACGCTGAAATGTTTAACCTTAACTGAG